TGAGATAACTTTGAAAGGCATCACCAGGATGAAATGCTGGACCGTTGGCTTTGGCGGGAAACACCCCTCCTCCACATGCACAGTAAGGTGGTCAGTTCAGCGTCTAGAAAATTCCTCCAGCACATCAATGATTCCCCTCCCAAATACCATGCCCCCCCCTCCCCGTTTCATGGCAGCCGAAGCAGCAGCAAAGCAGAGGCTGACAGGGGCAGAGTTTCGGGAGGCAAAAAATGCTGGATTCAGTGTATAAGACACACCCAGATTTTCTTATACTCCAAAAAATACGGTAGCATATAGATATGTAATGAGCAATCCACAACCATCAGGAAATTGCCATCAATGCACAATGCGGCATGCTGTCATTATAAGACTAATAGCATAGGTTTATTTCTGGGTTAAAGACGAATGTTTGTAACTTTTAAAATCCTATCTGGCTTTTGCCTGATTATCTGCAGACCACTAATTCTAAATGGAATCTGCTTGCTGAGCCCCCCTTACCAGTGAAATATGGTGAGAAAGAATCTGTAGGCCGTTGGCAGGAGCTTTTCTCTTATGGAATTCCTTTTTTTCTTCCAGACCACAGGAGAGTTATCAGATGTTTCCATTGAAACAAATAGTTAACACCTTCACAAGGAGTGACTAAATCTCTAGCTTTGGAATGCTAACTATATACTGCATCTTACCTAAATATAGATTTGCTTGTAATGCATAATGTGCAGTCTTATAATTGCACTCATAAATCTGACCCTGTAGCAGCATGCAAACAGTGGTGAGAATTGCAAAGTGATGATACACTCACGGAAAGTTCGCAGCTTATTGTGATGGCCAGTGGTGCCTGAACAAAATGGACTGATCTGTCAGAGTCTTTGCTTGGCTCTCACTTGACTCATATGATCTAAAATATTTTTTTTAAGAATGTGTAGGTTTCATTGATGCTCCTAATCTAGGATTATTTACTGTGATGGATCATTCATTCAAGATGATATTTTTGTTAGCCTTTCTTGTTGAAGAGGGTCCCTGGTTTTTTTTCCTATTCTGCTTCTTTAATTTTTACATTCAGAAATGTTATAATCTCAGTCATCCTACAGCATTGCCTTACCCAGCTCTACTGCGAATACCAAGGTTGTTATTATTGTAGTGAGTCAGCAGGGATGCTGCAAGGGGGGAAAAATCACCAATGTAAACAGCAGTTTGTTTGCTTCTTTTTCTCTATGCCCAACAGCACAATTCTTTTTTTAACCAGGCATTTTTAACCAACCGCTAAGCCTTCTCCTGTTTTGTCAAATCGGGGACTTCCATCCACCTGTGAACTCCCTTTCATCCTAAAGATTTTTCTGCTGCTGTTGAGAGTGGAGACAGGCAGCTTTCCACAAATTGGAGCTGGGTGGAAGTGTTGGGAAGGGGAAACGGAAGCAGGTGGCAAACAAATTCCATTTCTCTACACTTTTTCAAAAACAATAATGTGTTGCTAAAATTAGCCATTTTTTTTAATGAATATTGTTAACACGGTTTTAGGAGCCTCAGGGTTGCATCTCTGCTCGGTCTTTCAGAGCAAGTTCTTATACATAGTTGTAGCTTTATTGCAAGAGCCTCACTATTCATTCTGCCGTCTCTCATTTTTATTTATGGATTCAGATCACATCAATGGAGAGCAATCTGAAAACCATCGAAGAAGAGAATAAACTGATAGAGCAGAATAATGAGAGCTTATTGAAGGAACTAGCTGGCTTAAGCCAAGCTCTCATCTCCAGTCTTGCCGACATTCAACTTCCACAAATGGTATAGTATGTCTGTGACTAAGAATTCTGCACTTTCTCTAAGAGTCGAAGAATAGAGAAGCATATGGTAGTATCTTGCAGGACTGTCAAATGGAAAATTATGATGCAGAATCCATTATCACTATTGTTGTATGTACACTGAGAGCCGAGGTGGCATAGTGGTTAGAGTGCAGTACTGCAGGCTACTTCAGCTGACTGCTAGCTGCAGTTCNTTCAGACACTGCTAGTAAAAACAAGTAGCTTTACTACTGATAATTGCAGGAAGCCATCACAATCGAAAATGAAGCTTGGGAGCCCATTTTTGCTGGCAGAGCACTTGAGCCACCACAGGCACCGCCAACACGAGTGATGTTGACCTGGCCACGCCCCCTGCCCCCCCCCAAGGTCAAACACAACCCTGATGCAGGCCTCAATGAAATTGAGTTTGACACCCCTAGTATAGATTATCTCAGTCATCCCTGAGGGGGTGATGTTCTGAGACATCATAGTGGCATGACAACCCATGACAACTGGGGGTTTGTGCCAAGTTATCATTGTACAATGCTTCAGAGGCCACATATGAGAACTGGTTTATACTTTGGAGCAATTGAGGCATGATCTGGTGGTGGTAGATGTTAGAGTTACTCCATTGTCATTGACAGATCACTTTTCAATGACCATGGAATTGATTGGCTTTACTGATCTATGCAAGAAGATAAATCCAGTTAGATCAGCCCATCCCAGCATAGAAGAGATTCTACTAGCTGCCAAATGGCATTTGGAGAGTTACCAGCAGTCTCCAGGGTGGTTCTGTTAGGATTCCAGTTGTCTTCTGAAGTATAGATTGTAGGAAGATTATCTGCCGTCTTTTCAGTCACAATCCGGGTGTGGGCAAAGGATAGAAATTAGAATGGTTATTATTGATGATGGTTTGAAAGTAGCCCATGTTGAACTGCACAGCAGTCAAACATCAGAGGTTGCAAGAAATGTTTTGTGTCATTTTGTTTGATGTCATAAAACACTTTATGATTTTAAAAAATTACATGTCATAAAATGTTTTATAAAATTTGCCAAATTTCAATTCCACAGGATTTTTGACACATTTCATAAGTTAGCCTATTTGAGGCAAAAAAGTTCTGCTCCATGGTAAACCATTTTGCTCAATGAAAGGTTACAGGCATGAGAATTTAAATACGGTATTTTTCAGAGTATAAGACGCACCAGCGTATAAGACACACCAAGGTTTGGAGGCAAAGAGGCAAATTAAAAACAAAAATTTTTGCACTCTGCAGACCTCCTAAAAACGGCCTGTTTTTCACGAAAATGGGCCCAATTTTTTTTTCAAAAAGGGCATGAATAGCCTTTAGGAGGTTTGTAGAGTGCTCCTGGGGGCTGGGGGGGGGGGAAATTGAGCAAAAAAACAGCCCATTTTCTGNTGCAGGCTACTTCAGCTGACTGCTAGCTGCAGTTCTGCAGTTCAAATCTCAGCAGGCTCAAGGTTGACTCAGCCTTCCATCCTTCCAAGGTGGGTAAAACGGGGACCCAGATTGTTGGGGGCACTATGCTGACTCTGTAAACTGCTTAGAGGGCGGTAAAGCACTATGAAACAGTATATAAGTCTAAGTGCTATTATGCACTGGAGACAAGTGTGTCTAATCACACTTGGCCAATAAACAATTCTATTATGTTCTATTAATCCCACTGTGCAATTATTGAAAAATCTGTATTAGCAATTCCAGATAGAAAAATGACAATACTTTAAATAGAAAATAATATTATTTTTGGAGTGGGACAAGTCATCTTGTAGAGAGATAAGAGATATACAGGTAGTTCTCGACTTACAACTGCAATTGATCCCAAAATTTATGTTGCTAAATGAAACATTTGTTACATGAGTTTTTCCCCATTTTATGACCTTTCTGTGAATCACTGCAGTTGTTAAATTAGTAATACAGTTGTTAAATGAATCTGACTTCCCAGTTGACTTTGCTTGTCAGAAGGTTGAATAAACAGATCACATGACTCCGGGACACTGCAACCATCATAAATTGCAGTTGCAAAGCAGCAAATCCTAATCATGTGAGTAATCGGATGCTGCAACGGTTGTAAGTGTGCAAAACGGTCACTACTTTTCTCAATGATGCTGTAACTTTGAATGGTCACTAAATGAACCGTTTCAAGTCAAGGACTACCTGTACTATCTTACACAGCTAACATGAAGATGGATAATGATTTCCTTTTCTAATGTCAAATCCAAGGGTTGAACCTATAGACACAGTGACTTTGCCAATGGCATACTGTACTGCTTTTATTTGCCAACATTATCCATGGGAAACCAGCATCTGGTCCCTGCCAGCCCCATGAGCTAGGGACCAATATAGGCCAAGTTATTTGGTCCCCTTCCATTAATGGCAGCAGGGAAATAAAATTCCACTTCTGCTACAAACCAGATGACAATGATCAGTTGGCAAGTGGGGGAAAGGTGCCCCATTGTGGCCAAGGGCCACAAGTTGAAACAGGGAAGTAGATAAATACTGTATGAGTAATCCAAAAAAAGAACTACTGGCGGCATCATCCATATATGTTCAAAGATTTAAACACACATACACTTACACACAAAGCCCCTGGGCAAAAATAATCATCATTATCACTTTCCTCTGCCTTGAATCATATTGCAACTCAATTAAGCCTCCATATGCCTATTGTTTTAAGACAAAAAAGTGATATCTGGACAGAAGTCCTTGTGATGTTGGAATAGCAGCCACAGATAATGAAGAATTGCATATATCTGCCTGCAGCAACTTGCTGAGACATCCAAGGCAGATGGTATAGACAAGCCTTTTATTCGTTCATCATATGGCAAGTATATTAGTATTACAAGTGAATGCACTTACTTACAGAAAATTGGGATAGGCAGGGAGAAAAGGGGTGTCCATTTAATGTAATTCCAACCATTTGCACCCCCCCCCAAAAAATATTCTGACTTAGATTTTAAAAACTCAGTTCGCATGGATCTCAGCCAGATTCAGGCTTGCAGTCCACAGATAAAAATTTTCATCTCCCCTGCTAACATCTCACTGAACTTTGATTTCATTGTTTTGTGTCATGCCTTTGCCTTTATTTAGGGCCCAATCAGCGAGCAGAATTTTGAAGCATACGTGAATACACTCACAGAGATGTACAGCAATCTGGAAAAGGATTATTCCCCAGATTGCAAGGCTCTGCTGGAAAGTATCAAGCAAGCAGTGAAGGGTATTCATGTGTAGGATGGAAGAACTGCTGGGCACAAGAAGGTCTCAGCAGCTGCAAATTCCAGATGAATCCATGAAAAGCACCTGGACTGCTTAGAAATATTGGTTGCTGTGCTGCATTTTTAATTACAACATTGCACTATTTTTTTCCAGCTGACATAAAAAGGACATTAAACATAACAGACTATTGTATTAACAGCAATGAGTTAGATCATCAAACATATTTATTTATGTACAAATCCTTTTTGTTGCCATTGTTGTTTTGCACTTGTTTCATTTTTGTAAAGTGAATGTACAAAGTGTGTGTAACTATTTTTTTACATTTTTAATTTATTTTCAATCAAAGAATTGTATGGATTTTTTTTAAAAGAAAAGATTGTTTAACCGCATTTCTTGCAGCCTGCCATATTTTTACAAATGTGTTTGTTAATTTATTTTCCAATGGGATTTTAAATAGACTGAAAGTTATAGTGTAAATTAAATAATGTGCTGGGTTTGTACAGGAAGAAAAAAATACTATGAAAGAAACAAAGTAACAGAACTGTGATTCTAGTTTATTTTCACCACATCCTGCTTTTTATAACAATTTTTTTTATGAAATAAGAATGGGTTTGCAAATAGCATGAGAGGCAAAGACCCAGTGATACCAAGGTGGATGGTGCCCTCTAGTGGCTAATCGCCTTGAGCACAGCATGCAGTAAGAGTTCAAGAATTTTTGTAGCAATAATGAAATATAGCAATTAGCAAACCACTGGATCCAGCTAAGCCTACATTAAACAATTGTTTGAAACCATTCAGGGGAAGACTGGACTGATTGAAGGATACTTTCTCAATGCCTAATTTCACGCTCATTCATGCAGGAAGATCAAACTGTTTGATCATTCAAATAAGATAGGTTCAAAGTACAGAAGCTTGGGGGGGGGGGGTTACTATCTATATAATTTCATATTTGAAAAGTGCTTCCTAAGTCAATGATTTTGTACCAGTGGTGGGTTTCCATTTTTTTTTACTACCGGTTCACTCATGAGCGCGCTCATATGAGCGCGTGACACTTCTGCGCATGCGCAAACATTTCCGGGTCGGTGGGTGTGGCCTCCCGCCACTGCCACTACTGGTTCACTCGATCCGGACCGAACCAGGAGCAACCCACCTCTGTTTTGTACATATCACAAAGCAAGGCCATTAAACTCTACTTATCATTCAGCTCAATACTGTCAACATCGACTAGTAGTAAATCTTAGGAGTGGCTTCATTGATAAAACTGATTTTTACACCGAAGAAAATAGAGAACATCCAGAAGTGATTAGTGTACATACTGGAGTCTTGTATAATTTCGAATCAGGTGGCTGCAAGTTTTAGTTTCTACTGATGATGGCAAGTGAGGTCTTCAAATGTTGCAGTGCTGTAAGCCCTCATTCAGAAACATGTTTACATTTGTCCAAGATGAGCCCTTTCATAATCTCTATTCAGTTCCTGTTTTGTAACTGCTCTGAATAAAGATCCAACAGCTAGTTTAGGGATGTTGGATAATAATAATAATCCCCCCTGAACGTTAACTAATTTTTTAAAAAGAAAAAAGGAAATACAAGCCACCAGCTAAACGCCTTTACCCATCCATACATGTCTCATGTGCATATGTGCCTCAGTGGAAAGTGTATAATGGTTACAGCATAGGCTTTACTTTTTCGGTGCTACAATGGCCATGGTTAGTTTTATTTGCCAACATTATATCTCAGCTGGGTATGACCCTGCTAAGAGTCTTCATTCATACATATAGTGTTCCTATCCACAGATTGCCTCTCGGTCATTCTCCAACTTTCATATGCTGTGATTGCTCTTTGACATTAGGTGGGCTTGCTGTTTGTGTATGGAGGGACTGGCTTGGCCCTCAGACCTTAGTTTAGACAGGAGAGGTGTATGTTCTTAGAAGCTGTGCTTATTTTTTAAAGAAATTTTTTTGACAAAGCTACAGTATGTGCTAATATAAATTAGAACACCAAATTACTATTAAATTATTGTACTTGTTGGTTTGTTTGTTATAAGACATTTGCTGACACCAGTTTAAGGCATTCACTCATGACAAAAAGTAAGAAGTAATGTACTAAATATTTTAAGAGTAATTCTATATTTTATTTAAATTAAATTAAGCAATCTCTTTTTAATCTATTATTATTTACTATGGCTTTCAGTTAATTTATCTGTGTTTGGATTTTTGCTCAAGATGTACTTTCATATTGATTTGCCTTCTTTGTATTTGATGTTCTGTAATGTGAGCTGTGATTCTTCCCTTCCTCTGTCTTCCCATTCATTCTTTTTTTCCCCTTTCCTTTTTCTGGGTTAATTTGCTTTGATGAGCTATCCTGTAAATTAGACCTTTTGTAAAGGACAATGATGTATGCATTTTTTTTTAATTTTGGGGTAGTTTGTATACTGTTTCTTCATACAGTTAATATTTCTTACATCAAAGCAACAAAACTGTGTTCTGTGCTGTACATTTGGTGTATGGTAGGAAATAAAAACTGATACTGGAATGGCTTCCACAAGTTATTTGGCGTTTTTAAAAATTCTGCATGTTGCATGATGCTTTTTTAAAGTATTCCCAGGAATTTTCACGCCGACAGATGTATGACTTGCTTTCTTCAGAAGTCAGAAAGCTCCCTCCTCTAAATGTTACCTAACTTCTAGTGTTATGCCCAAGATCAAAGAAAAGATTTTGAATAGCTGATAGATAATATTTAAACCAGAAGGACAAAATACCATGACGAAATTTTCCTGCTATTAAAAATCACCCATCAATTCAGACTATTAGTAGTTTACTACACCTTCCTTACTTAAGCTTCTAGTGTGTATTTCTGAAATGTTTCTGGGGTGTTGGAGCCTCTTGTATGAGAGCAAATTTGATCTTTACTGGATAAAATTCATCACACATAAAAAATATTGAAATATATCTGCTCTATGACTTGGGCTTATTTGTTTGTTTAATTATAGGGCAAATTGTTATTATTTTCCTTAGCCCTTCTCAGTCCATCTATATGCAGGTTGATATTTTTAAATACCTCTTTTAGAGAAACAGAACTTTCTTTTGCATATGCTATACTGGCTGACATTTTCATCTACCTACTGTGTTTTGACCCCCGAAATAAGCACTTGGGCTTATTTTCGGGGAGGTCTTATTATTTTTGAAGTGCAGGAGGCGGCGAGCGTGGTCACCTCATGGCTGCTGCTGTGCTGCAATATTTGAGGGGAAGGCTTATTTTCAGGGGAGGGTTTATTTTAGTGCATGCACTCAAAAGTCCGATTGGGCTTCTTATCCGGGGAGGTCTTATTATTTTTGAAGTGCAGGAGGCGGCGAGCGTGGTCACCTCATGGCTGCTGCTGTGCTGCAATATTTGAGGGGAAGGCTTATTTTCAGGGGAGGGTTTATTTTAGTGCATGCACTCAAAAGTCCGATTGGGCTTCTTATCCGGGGAGGTCTTATTTTCGAGGAAACAGGGTACTTAATGGACTGGGTGATCCTAGAAGCAATTTGATATGACTATTGAGGTCCAAATAAGGTCAGGGGCGGGGGGGGGAGAGAAACAGATTCTTACAGAAAAGGCAGAAATGTATGTAAATTATCTTCTATCAATCAGATGAAATTTGGAAGGAGGTTAGGGAATGAAGAGTGTTAGATTTTGTAGGAATAGGTATAGATATGCTCCTTTAATGTATTTCTTTTAAGTGACCTCTCAGATGATAAATTGTGGTGAATTATGGGTTGGAATACCGATACAAATTTCAAACAAAACTTTAGGAAGAGTTGGACAATGGTAAAGGATAGGTAGATAGGTAGTGATAAGAAAATTTGAGTTAAGAAGAGATGTATCAGACATTAAATACTTCCTTTTCCTGTTTTTGTGCTATCTCATCTTTATCCTTCACTATAAGCAGCACAGAGTTTACATCTGAATTTCTCAACCTAGGCACATTTAAGATGTGTGGTCTTCAACATCCAGAATTTCCCAGTCAGCAATCTGAGTGTTGAAGTCCACATACCTTAAAGTTGCCAAGAGAACTGAGAGAAACAGTTGAGAAACACTGTTCTACATAAACACCAGGAGGACTTTTTTAATAATGGAGAACAGCATGACAAAAACAAACTAACTTCAAAAATTCATGGTTTTATAATCAAAATGGACTGGATTTACACATATCTGTCCCATCCATTCCATGTTCAACCTGCTCCTATTCAGGTTCTGCAGTATGACCATATCTAATCTAGAGATATATGGAAATCAGTCGATGACTGATAGTTTCCCTTTCAACAAAGAAATATATGTAGATGAAAACAAATTTATAAGCAGTATAAATTTACTTACTTTTAATTGCAGGATCATTAATAGGATTCCTGACAAAATAGCATGTAATCATATCGAAATAAAGATAATCAATTTCTAGATCTGCATTAAAAAAGAAAAAAGAAAAAGAGTATTTAACTTTGTAATTGATTTAATGAGATGCTATAAGATGAAATTATCTGCACAATGTATGTATGAAAAGTTATTTTTTTCTCATTCATTTTTAAAAACATTTTTTATACTTAGAAAATAAAATTAAGAGTATATCTGTCATAGCTAATATAAATTAATGCTATGGCTAACAACACTTCCCAACTGAATAGAGCAAATACAAAACTTATATTATAGTACAGAAAAAAGTGCTTCTGAAATAACTGCAGAATCTTTTTTCCCTGGTGAAAGTCTGATTATAATACCAGATAGAGCATCATAATAATGAACCGGTGTTCTTCACTCCAACAAATAAAAGAAGCGGCGAGCTTTGGGGGCCCTATTAATCTGACATTACTACTCATCATCATCGCCCCAGAGAGGCGGGGAGCTATCTGGACTGACCGGGACCGGGCGGATCGGGTGGCTGACTGTGGTTACCGCCGCCATAGCCCTCATTGGACGCCCCCCCCTCCCTCCATTTCACTCGGCTCCCTCGTCGCAGCCTCTCCCCTTCGCTCCCTTGCGTGTCTGGGCTTTGTCCTTTGGCAATATCTTTTCTTCTGTTTGCCTTCGCTGCTGCGAAGCCTCCTCCTGTTCCCTTGCCTAGCATTGGCTCTCCACTATCCTGGCCTGTGACCATCTGATTTTGGCCTTTCAACATCCGACCTCCTCCGACCGCATTGCCACCACTGTCCCTGGAACACCAACTCGGACAGCGCCCACCTAATTACAACTCTCAGGACGTCATGGACTGTGTATTTGCGGTGCATTCGTTTTATGGAAGGAGCGATAGAGGATGGCAGAAATACGGGTGGGGACTTGGCGTCTCAACAACCGACCCCCCCCCCACTCTTTCTCGACTTGTGCCAACCACCCAAAGACTTTGGACCCCCTCAGGCCTATAGGAGAGGGGGAAGACAAGACATTCCCCTGCATACCACCTACATACCTTCTATGGACCG